AGGACACTTGAGAATAAGAAGAGCCACAACCTGGAAATGTATGTTCTAATGAATTCTGAGTTGTCTGAATACCCCAAAGAGTCTGAATGAGACCAACAGGGACTGCTTCAGATGGAAAGCACTTCCTTTAACTGGGAAGGTTATGCTCTTTCCTTATTTCTGCAGAAGTTAAGACAAAATCAGTTGAAGAGAATAACTTCGTGCAAACCACGGTGCGCAGTGGGACTCTGCTGCGTGTGGGGAGAGCGTACCCTAGGTTCCAAAAAATCTCAGTGAAAAAGCTGAGCTCAGGGGAACCAGCAATTAGCGTAATGGCTATGTCACTGGGCTCCCACGTAGTCAACCGCGGTTCGTGTCCCGGACCCGGTGGCTTAAAACTCACGCCGGGCGCGTGTGCGTGCGTGCCCAAGATCCCGAGAGGAGAATGGAGGAGAAGGGATTGCGGTGTGACCATTCCCCCTGGGGGGGTGATTTCTCGCTTTCTGTCTCTATGTCTCTCTCTGTCTGGCGAGCGCACGCGCCCTACAGTGAAAATCTCTCCAAAAAAAAAAAAAGCTGAGCTCAGTACCCCAAGGACAGGCTGAAGTTTTTCCTAGTCACATTTGACTTCAACTACTTCCGTATATAAGAATACCGAAGTGGGTAGGCAGGAGGTTGAGGCAGTGGGAACCTACGTGGCCAATGTACGTGGTTCAAATCCCAACCTGGAGGCTTGAAAAACATGACAGGCACATGTGTGTATGTGTGCACACAGAGTCCTGAGAGAACAGAGGACAGGGGATTGTAGTGTGGCCATCCCCCTGGAGGGTGATTTCTTACTTTCTCTTTCTTTCTCTTTCTGGTGAACACAGGTGTCCTATAACAAACTTAAAAAAAAAAAAAAAAAAAAGACTAGAAAGTGCCTGGTGAGAGGACCACAATTTCTAAGGAACACAGGAAAGAGAGCCAAAATAGAGCCACCATTCTCTGCAGTGGCCACATCTTTGATGACAAGGAAGGGGCTCGGACCTGGGGCTGTGGGAGGCTCGGAAGGTCCACGAGATCACACCAAAGGCCCCCGGAGGGCATTCGAGGCCCAAGGCAGGCCTCTTGCCGAAGGCAGGAAGGAGGACGAGAAGCTGCACTTACCCATCTCTGTCTGTACATCACGGCAGCTCAGCAGCAGCACCTTGCCTTTTGTGAGCAGCTCGACAGGCATTTTGGAGACGCGGGCCTGCCAAACATTCAGGCAGCTCACCAGATTCACGTAGTCCTTGATGGGGCAACCTCTCATGTTCTCTGACTTCTGAGGGCCCCAGGACTGCAGGAATTCATAAATGCCTGTTACCCAGCCATGCTCCTTGCAGAATTCCTGCACCTCCTGCAGCATGTCCTAAAAGCAGATAGGGTGCTTAGGACGGAGCTGGTGGCTACGGGAATGGGAGGGCTGCATCCCCTCCTTCACCCCCTCGTTCTTACCTCCAGCAGTGCCTGTTGCGTGGTCAGTGCCTGCTGGATCTGAGGGCTGTTGTCCAGGTCCTCCTGCAGGTGCTTGAAATTGGGGGGCAGGTACTGACCCCGCAAACGGTACCCACGGACTTCCAGGGTATCCGTAACTAAGTGAGTCTTCCAGGGCCACACCAATCCTACATTCGGGCCGCAGAAGATGCGCACGGCATCACTGGGCTGCCCCAGGAACTTGGGCTTCAGGGGTTCTGTGTCCGAGCCCTCCTCTTCTTCCTCTAGCGGAACACAGGCCATAATTCCATGAGTGCTGTCCAGAGCCCCCACGCGCCCTCTCTCTCTACCCTGCACATGTGTACATATATCACTCTCTCATCCACATACATCCATTTCCTGCTTGTGAGTGAGTTTACACATAATCTATACCATAAACCCAGTATACCAGACCCATGGAAGGAGTTCATTGGCCAGGGTTCAGTGGAGGGACAGAACCCAGCTAATAAAAGCAGGAAGGGAATCATTAGAGAATACAACCCAGCTATTAAAAAAATCCCTGCCCCCTGGCTGTACATAAACCTTATTCAGAGTTCAACCAACCCTTATCACAATACCACTATCTGTCATCCTCTCCCCAGCCCAAGCCATCCCATCTCTCACTGCATTATTGCATTACCCTTCTAACTTTTCTCCCTTCCTTGGCCCTTGACAGTTTCCACTCCACATGAAAACAAAAGTAACCCTTCAGCAAGCATCCTAAAAGGGACTGTGGGAAGTTGAAGGCAATGCAGAATCATTTTTAAATACATAAAAAATGACAGACCAGTGAGACAGTAACCCCAAAACTCCTGGATAAGATTTTTTGGCAAAATGGAGACAAGAGAGTCTCATAAATGCTAAAGTACAGGCAAGTGAGGATAGCCTCAAGACCCCCATGGTTTTGCCATTTGTGAGGAAGAAAGCAGAGGGAGGCCAGGAGACACTAGACACACTTGGGAAAAGGAAAACCCCAAAGCAGCCCACAAGCACTTACTGAGCAGAGGGACTACGGGAGCATCAGGTAACATTGGAAGGGCGCCGTGACTACACACGCTTGAAACCCACCAGCGGAGCTCTCGGGGAACAGAGCTCATGATGGAGAAACTGGTGGGAGCAGAATCGAGCAGGAGGAGACAAGAGAGAAAAAGGACAGGTCTAGCTAGCAGTCTGAGAGGGAAACAGAAACCAAGAAATCTCAGAATGCTAGCCACCTTTTTTAAAAAAAAAACAAAAAACAACAACAACAACAAAAAAAAACAACTACAGAAAAACAATAAAAAAGGAAACTGAGACATCAGGAAATAATTCTGAACCAAGTCTCCTTTTGAAAGTTAAGAAAAGCACGTTTTAAGGCTGGCTCTGTGGTCTATTGGTCAAGACAGCTAGATTTCGCATGACGGATCCCATGGTTTGAGTCCTGGACCTGTAACTTGAAAAACATGCCAGGTATGTATGCATGCCCAAAATCCTGAAAGAAGGGAGAGATAGACTAAAAGGGAAATAAAATAACCTTTAAAAGAAGATTTTGAGTAGGAGAGACAAATATTTGGGATAGGTGGTAAGGATCTACTACGAAAGTAACAAGGGTCCCCTATAGGACAAAAACGAAGCAAGGGGAGACAGCAATGTTAAAAACTAACTCAAGGGCCAGCCCACAGCCTGGTGGTTAAGTAAGCCTGGATCCTTCACGGCTGTTTGGCTCCAGAACCAGTTGCTGTGACTTGAGAAACACTCCAAAGCATGTGTGTGTCCCCAAAATCTTAACAGAAGGGAGACATGGAAGAGAAGGGATTGTGGCAGGGCCACTTCCATGGGGCGTGCTTTCTCCCTCTCCCTCGTTCTCTTTCTGTCCTCTCTCTGGTAAGTGTAAACAACCGCTGGCAAAATTAAAAAAAAAAAAAAAAAAAAAAAG